CCCCACGACGCCCTCGTCACGACTCTCCGGATCCCATCCAGCGGTGCAATTTCCATCGCTCGTCCGGACTACCTGCCATTGGACACAGACGAGCTCGATAACGACTATCGCAAGTCCTCGCACGACCCTCACCATGTCCACTTCCGTCGGTGTCAACGTACGCTATGCCCCTCGAAGCGGTTGCCAAGGTCTCTAACATGGCCTTGTGGGACTTCTGCTAGCTCTAGAGATGGAACAGCCAGGCTAATGGTGGTATCTACAGGTCCTCCGATGGTCCGCACTCGGATTCGGTGTCTTCTACGGTGCCTACCACCAGCTCTCGTTATCCGCTGCCGATAGGGCAAAGGCCGCACAAAAGGACTGGGAACACAAGGAGGCGCTGATCAGGCAAGCCAAGCAGCAATGGGCACGAGATCACCCCTCAGAACAGCCAAAGTCATCGGGAGGTACGTCAGACCGACGACACATGTCAAAAATTCCCAACCTGAACATGTGCTTGTACCAGTCCAACACATACTGACAACCCAACAGCCAAGGCGGACCCGAAAGACCCCAACGCCGACCTCAACACGCTCCTCGGCATAACCGACAACTAAGCGCGTCGAGGGTGATCCCGTTTCCTACATTAGCATGGGCATAATGCGGCCGTTTCCCATCGAGCCGAGAGGCGGCTTGGTGGGGGAGAGCAGTCAATAGTGGTACGACATCTACGAGATACCAGTCTCTTGTACTATGTACCTTTTGTACAACATAGACGTCGAGTTGGTCACGTTTTCAATCTACATGCTTTAGTTCCATCTCTTCATCTGTTGTCCGCTCGACATGTCAATGTACAGGTCAGCATGCTCGACTCCAAGGAACTAACTGAACAGTCACCCTGCCCCACTCATGCCAGACTACCCAGTACTCAACGAAACACTAAGAAGGGAATCGCCAGCGTCGCCACAGTTTGCAATGGGACCATTGTCACAATTTCGATCAAGGAGCTGTGCTTATCCAAGAAGACAAGATTTGTTGCCAATCATATATTCTATACATGTATCATCTCCACCCCCGACCCGCCATGGGCAGGCACTATGCTACACCGACCATCAGAACGCGCAGAAACGATGAAAAGCGGAGCCTCGAAAAACGCCCTGCAACCCTTGGAAATCAACAAGGGCAACAGAAGAGTAGAAACGAAAAGCGCTGAGAAGCGGCCAAGGACAATATTAACATGACGTAGCCGCCCCCATACGCTTTATCAACCTTTGCCCCCAGCCCGACTGTCAACACGACCCGGTAATACTAATCGGATGCGGGGCAAAGGCTGTATAATCGCACATTTTCAAAACCTACAAGGAACCCGTGATGATTCGTTTCATTATCCAAACACCTATCTCTTACAAAACCTCGCCGACAATCTTGGCTGCCTCCTTGTATGTCTTGAGCAGCTTCTCGCACTTCTCGCGCTCAGCCTTGATGGTGTCGTCTTCGTACAGGAGCTCCTGGAACAGATCCTCCTTGTACAGCGTTGAGACGAGCCTGTTCTGTACAACGTCTTTTGAGTGGTTGACGAGAAGATGCATAATGGCCTTGGGCACCTGATCAGCGACTGTCTCCCGGACAATGTTGAAGTATGACGAGATGAGTCGGCGGATGAGCTCAGTCTCGAGGGCTTCGCGTTCCGTAAGGGCAGGGGCTTGCTCGGGGTTTGATGGCTGCCAAAACGTTAGCATTTGGTCTGCGTAGCATTGATTCAAGAAACTTACGAAGCCGCCTTCAAAGTTTTCTGGTCCCACGCTTGGACTTCGGGGAGGACCACTCATGGCGGCGCTCAATGGCGCGTCATAGTCGTCCGTGTCTGGTGGCATCATTGCCAACACATGGGCAGGCTGCTTGTTGTCTCCTCTTCGGATGCTCTGCGCGAAGCTTGGCTCGCTATTTTGGCTCACGTGTCGGCTGCCAGGCCGGTTATCGAGCGCTGCTTGTGCGGCCTGTTGTGGGTTGGCGTATGCGTTATTGCTGTCTTTGCTGAAGAAGTAGTTCAGGAAGCTGTCGCGTGCGGTACCTGGTGGTGACCGGTTGCGGTTGTTGAGCGCTGCTGTAGTGCTCTGAGAGCCATTCATCATCCGTCCGACAGCAGGCGACATGCTGCGGCTAGTTTGTGACTGGTGTTTCCGAAGAGGAAGAGCCTTCAAGGTGGCTCCCTCACCTCCTTCGCCCTCCTCAGATCCTTCCCCGTTCTGACCGTTCTGGAGCTCTTTTATTCTCCTCTGTTCTCGCCTCTTCTTCTCGGCCTCCATCGCGATCTTTTTTTCCCGCTGCTCCTTGTCATTGATAACAGATGACATGGCCGCAGCAGCTCCAAGGAAGTTGGGGTGGTTTGTGTTGATGTATGCCCTTTGTATGTCAATGAGAGAGGCGACGTAACCTGAGCAAGGGCCAAGCTGCTCTCGCAGAAGGTCCGAGACAACTTCAATGAGCTTGCCTTGCAGCCTGGGGTATCTTGTCAATTCAGTAGAGCCGCAGGTGTGGCAGATCTTGATGAGTTCCTCGTATACAAGCTCTACACAGCGTTGACTGGGTATCTCCAAAAGCTTAATCTGAGGCTTCACAAGGAGGTCGAAAGCAAGCTCAGGCACGAACAGACTAGGCCTTGGACCAGTCGAGTTGCGGATGGCCGTCCGAATGTCGAGTACAGAGAGGTTTTGGGTGGGGTCCACTTGCTCAAGCGAGTTACCGAAGACAGAGTTGAAGATGTAGTAGATGCGGGCACCACCACACAGCTCCTTGGTGGAGATTTCGGTAGAAGTACCATCGATAGACGAGATGAAAGACGAGGCAAAGCGCGTCATAAGTTGCAAAATGAGCGAGCCTCGATGTTCCTTACCAGTAAAGGCTACATCGCCATAGCTTGCAAGCTCTTGTTGTGTCTGACCCATAAGTGTGTTGAGGCGTGCCTTGATGTCTGGTAACCTATCACGAATGTGGGCCATCAGGGTCTGGTTGAGGCTCTTAGCGAGCAGCTGGGTACCACATCGATTTGCCATGTTCCGGTACGCAGGGTGGTGACGGAAAAAGTCCCGCTCGGCTTGCAGGGCGTCAGAGAGGGACTTGTTGCCCTGGATGTCTTGTTGTGACCGATTGACGATACCAATGAAACCGAGCTTAAGGGGGTATACACGACCAGAGAGAATATCCATGGCGTTGGTACCGTGATCCATGAGATCCAGCTTTGTAAGGACACCGATAGTCCTCTTGCCCATGGGGTCGACATGGCGGGCCAGCTTCAGAGCCTCGGAGTTTACGAGATCGACGTTGGCGGGGGAGACGGCGAGGATGACACTGTTTGGCTTTGCAATGTACTCGGTGATGAGATTCCGTGTCTGCTTCTCGATGTCGGAGGGCTGGTCGCCAATGGGCACCTGCGAGTGTTAGCTCCGTGTTCCTGGCAGAAAAAGTTGCCGTGACCAACCTTTGTCAAACCGGGCAGATCAACGAGCGTCAAGCTGAGGACGTGCGGGGAGTAGATCTTCAGGTTGATCGGTTGCCTGTTGATGCCCTTGTTGTTTCCTGCTATCCTTGAGGTTTCGTTCTCGATCTCGCGCTTGACGTCGGCAAAGTCGTAGAACCTCTGGCCGGGAATGTGGAGAAACTCTCCCCATTCTTGCTGGCCAGCTACACTTGCGGGTGTGTGGGGTACGTGGACTTCGTCATCGTCGTCTTCGTCGCGTTCGCTTGGGAGGTTGATGAGTTGGAGGATGAGCGGCCGGCGTGTGACGATACCACTGCCACGGGGAAGAAAGTCCTTGCCGACGATGTTCTCGAGCACTGATGACTTTCCGGAAGATTGTGATCCCACAACGACCTGATCGAGTTAGCAGGATTCGCATCAGCCTCGACAGAGCTTTGTAAAATCTGCTCTGCGCTCACCGCATTCTCTTCTCTGGCTGGGGCGCACATACAATCTGGGGTAAATCTAGGGAATCATTTCCAATTGTGTTGAAGACCAGATCCTGCAGCCTGTTGACAATGTTGAGCAGCTCCTCGCCCAGCGACGCCATCGCGCTGGTGTGTATGTGTGGTTTCTTTGCTCCTTACTCAAAGGGTCCGGGTTGGTGTTGAGCAGCCAAACAACACGGCGGAATGCTGTATGGGCCAAATGTCGTCCTACGGCGTATTAGAGGTGTTGCACTGTGCAGATGCAGGATCGGCGAAGTGACTGTGGCTGATGGCGGCTTCGTCGGGTCCAGAGGCTCGTGATGAGAGTGCCTTTGCTGCAGCTCCGTCGTCACTTCGCTTGAAAGTTCCAAGGTTTGATGATGGTGCACGTGACGGCCAGCATGGCAATGCACCCCACATTCAACATTCACATGTCTCCTTAATCTTAGTCCATATTGTTCATTCCTTTCGCATAAAGGAGAAGACACCCTCAGCTACGTCGCCAAGCACACGCGTTTTGTCAAAGCAAACACGAGGCTGCTGAACCCGACCATCTTGGTCGCGAGTCCTGCGAACGCCACCACACGCCGTGCATGCGGCTCGGCTCCAAGGCCGAACACGGTACACATGAGCCTGCAGCAACCCGTATGTAGAGGGTGCACACGATCAAATGAGTAACTAGACGACTTTTCCCACCACCTGAGCAGCGTCAGCAGTACCTGGTGGTGCGCGACCCGGGTCAGCCTTTGACAATACAGAACATACGACTGGCCGACTGAGTTGGCGCACGAATCTCGTAGAATTCTTCGACAATATGTGGACTCTGCTCTCCTAGTCTGGCCACGTATTGTCGCATTACCTCTGGTAGCTCAGAAAGTACCATGGACACGCTGGCGTACACGGTGTACGCTGGATCGCGCTCGGGTATTGTCGGACCCTCGGGGATTCCCTTGTAGTAAGGCGACGGCTATCTATCAAGTACACCAGCCTTATCGCTCTGTAAGACGCGGCCACACGCGACAACACCAAATTATCAAAGAAGATCTTCAACTCGTATCTCCACATCCTGGGGAATCCATTGCGATCGTCAGGTCGCTTCGACGTACTCTACCGCAATTTGGAAAGGCTGAAGTAGCCTCCAAGTCCCTACGGAAGCACATCTCCGCATAAGCCGATAGGTTTACCTTGCCTTGAGTGAATCATTGTCTTATTATGACCAAGCTTCCTTCCGAAGGAAGCCTATCACAATGATAAGGTCTGTTATCTGGCTCACCGCAAACAAGTGAAGCAACAGCGTTCGCGCATCGACTACAAAAGTAACGTACCTTCTTTGTCGTTTGCTCCAATCTACTCAGTTATCCTCACCACCTCTGCACTGATCTTCCACCCGAGTCTATCCTGGGTATCCTGCCGCTCACAACTCTCACCTACTTCGCCCTGGTCATCTCCGACGGCTCCATGGCCTCGGAGTCCCTTGTTCTCACCACCACCACCACCACCGAAGAGCAACACAAAGACATCACAGTGGGGACTATTACATGCACTGCACCTATCCCGTTTGGAGGAGAAGAACAATGGCTTTACCTACCAGCAACCAAGAAATTCGACCTATCTCGGGGTTCGCAGCAGAAAATGGTCTTCGAGTGCGATGAAGAAGGCCGCAACCACACCGGCTTCATGATTGACCCTGGTAACTCGGTCTTGATTGTGGTCGACATGCAAAACTACTTTGTCCACCCACTCTATCGAGATCACGCCGCAGGGATTGCCGCTATTGAACCGACATTGAAAGTCATCGAGAGATGCCGCAAGGAAGGAATTCAGATCGCCTGGCTCAACTGGGGAATCACTGACCACGACTTGAAGAAGATGGCGCCTGCTATTCAGCGAGGCTTCAGTAAGAGTCTGGGATGGCATGTCGGGCTCGGCGCCCAGCTACCCGATAACCAGGGAAGGTGCTTGTTCAAGCGGACTTGGAACGCCGAACTCTACGACCCTTTCAAAGCAGTCGCTCAGCCTGGCGATTTATATTTCGACAAGACGCGAATGAGTGGACTCTGGTCCGAGAAGGAGCCTCTTCACGAGTACCTCCGTGCTTCTGGAAAGCAAACCCTACTTTTCGCTGGCGTCAACACCGACCAATGCGTGTTTGGTACCGTGTCTGATGCCTACTCCTACGGATGGGACTGTGTCCTGATCAGCGACTGCACAGGCACAATGACAGGCCGAGGAGCTCAGGAACTCGCTGAGTACCAGATTTCGCAAAATATGGGCTTTGTCACCACCAGCAGCGCTTTCTGTGACGCGCAACTTTGTGAACATTTTGAGGGTTGCTGATTCAATCGCCTCTTCACTTTACAATGGCGGTTTTCTGGACTTCTTTTTTTCGTTCTTGAGCGTGCTATCCAAATACCCGTAGAGCTACAGTATAGCAGAAATACATTTACATGACATCTGTACGAGTTGCGGTACTGCAAGGTTGTGTTGCGCAATTACGTCGTAGCTTCCCAGACCGTTAGTGGATCTGCACCAGTTGAGGTACGAATGACGCACGACACTGGGGTGGAGATCTTCCACTTAAGGACCTACCTCACGCAATAGCGATCTCTTCGATACGCCTCTGCACTCGTTACCCAATTGCGACGGTACCTTACTTTGAAGCGACAACACAGATAGAAAGATAGCTTCTGTTCATAGACAAACAGTTCGCCGACACGATGTTTTCTCAGCTTTCGATAGGCTTGACCTGCCTGCTGCAGCTATGTGGAACAACTGCGCTACCAACCGAGCAAAAGCCCTTACTACTCAATGGCCCCAAGAACGTTCAGGCTGTTCGGACTAAGTAAGCATACCAATTGAGTTTATATTCCCTCTACTAACAGGACACAGACTTCAACATGCAGAGATAATTCCTACAGTCATTGACGATTTCCTACCTAGCCTCACACTCTCCGTCCTATGGTCGGATGCCAAGGCTAAACTCGGCAACACCATTGACCCAGAAGATCTTCAAGAACAACCCAGCATCGTCCTCCACGATGACACAAGCCCGGACGGGATACACAGTACCTCCGACATGAGCTATGTCGTCACACTTACAGACCCCGACGCCCCATCTCGTGACAATCCAAAATGGAGCGAGATGTGCCACTGGATTGCTTCCAACGTCACCACTGCGCAGAACACGTTCTCTATCCTACCTTTGCCAGAGTTTGGTCTCACTGAACAAACTGAGTCGACTGATGGCGGCCCAGAGGACGTGATGGAGTACAAACCTCCAGGCCCACCACCAAAGACGGGCAAGCATCGCTACGTGTTCCTAGTCTTTGCGCCAAAGAATGGAACAACAGATTCGCTGCATCTGAGTAAGCCGGAGGATCGTCAACACTGGGGTACTGGAAAAAAGGGTGGTGGCGTGCGAGACTGGGCTGAGCACAATGGTTTGGTGCCTGTCGCTGCGAACTTCATCTACTCGCAGAATGATAAGCAGTAGATGTTTGTTGCTCTGCTTACTGGATGCATGGAATGCCGAGGGCACATGCATCGAATGTGGCTATTCTTTTCCTTCGAAATTTCTTTACAAGCGGAGAAGGTGTTTCGTTGGTAGCGTACATATTGTGTTGATACCAAGATTTCCGTATCGAATGCACGTAATAGGCTTCCTCAACATCATTAGCATGCCATGCGTTATCGTGATGACTCAGAACTCACAACGTCTTGATAGGTAGAGCAATAGCGTATCGATATTGCCGGCACGGTGCGTCGCCAAGCAGCCCTACGGACCACAGAGCTTGTGGGGTGACAGCTCTTGCTCCACCGGCCAGGCTAATTGCATGCACCCCGCGTCTTCAACCTCATCCACAAACAACCCGCGACCACAGCCGATGCTGTGATACTGTGCCGCGCATACATCATGCTATGCGTCGTTCATGATTTCGGTCAAGACAATCAAATCTATCGACCGCATCGCCTGTTATCCGGACAGCTGATGCGATGAACCAAGAACATCTGCGTCAACCACCCACCCAGCCGATATCAGCAGTGCCAACATAAGCCTACCCGTTCGAGACGGGGTCACTCAAGGTCACCTCTACGTACCTCTTGTCACATATAAAGAAGCCACCTCGACCTTGATAAAATGAATTCAACGACTTTGTGGATGACTTGCGATCTGATTCCAGTCTTTCGCATGTCCGTAGCGATCACTTCGCCTTCAGCAGACTCTCCTCTCCGTGGAAATCAACAAGAGAGTTAAAGATCCTCACATTCTGAAAAGTGGTATTCTGTGAAGCTGTCGAGGTGATGAATATCATGCTTGGGCTCTAATCGGGCTGGTTTTGAGGTTCAACATCAACGAGTTGTGACGGAGTTGCCGGGATGGTCTTCTTTCACGTCGTGATGGTAAGCATGCACTACATTGCTAAATGACAAGTATCTATTGCGCGAACTTCATGCATAATTTACTGAGCGAGTGTAATAGTGTTTGCCAGCCGACTGCGCACGGCAACCACGGGCTATAGATTAAACACCCTCCTATCAACTTTAGCAATAAACTGCCCTGTAATGGGCCATAACGAGTATAACTTGGACGAATGAGGATATCAAAGGATGCAGACCATCCTCCTACCGGTCAGCTCTTGGGACTCCGAGCCTGCTGTGCATACGCGCTCATCAAATCATGTTGGACAACGACGTCGAGATCTGAGTTGGGTTTTTGCAGCACAACCATGATATCATTGTGTAGTGCCACAAAACCACCATAGACAACTCGTATCGTGTGTTGAAAAAGCAGTGAAGCAGCATGGGCTTGTAAGAGTTCACCTACCAACCCTCACTCTAACTTACTTGTATCATAGACAATCAGGGTATATCTCGGTCTCAGAATAATCGAGTCATGTTACTAAGGTTGACGTGGTTTTCAAGATATGTACGCAAGCACTTACTAGGTACATGAAAATCGGACTAGCACATCACTCGTGAATTGACTTGTCATTCTCCTATGTCACGACTTTCATTACATCATACTCCTTAACGCGCGTTGTTTTCCAGTACTGAGGGTTAGCTATATCATCGGCGAAAGCAGCAAAGATAGTCCAGAGGCAATTTCCACTACTTGAAGTACGAATATCTCAATTTAAGTACACTTTGATTGTGTGATTTTAGTGTCTATAGGAATGAAGAGATTTTATGCTCCCAAAATCCATAGGCTGTAGGTAAACAGATTCTCGCCAGAACTAAAGAACAAACTATGACCTCTCGACCTGCCAGAAACCACAAGATTGCTACCGTTTGGGCTACCTCGTGGGCGAGTTGGTACAATCTCAGTCTGACACCTAAGCCATGTCTTTGCCCTCTTCCTCAAATGTAGTAATGGCAAGAGTTTCATCCTCGCTATACAAGGATTCGTACAGATCCTTGTAATATAACCCATCTTCATTATTTACCAGAGTGTCTACATCTTCAATCCACTGGTCTAAGTCTTGGTTCCTGCCTTCATTTCTGATTAGATTGGCGTCTTTCGTATACCATTCGTCAATACACTTAGTTGCTGTGGTGGCTGTCGGCGTGTGGACAAACCATTCCAGCTCTTTTTCGCTATCTTCGTTGAGCTTGTGTGACGTGTCATCATTACCGTCGTCTCCGTCGGGGAACCAAGAGGGGTATTCCTCCTCACCTTCCTCTTCGTCTTCCTCTTCGTCTTCTGTAGCGCTTACGTCCATATCTTCCGCAGAACCGTTCTCTTTCTTGGCGATCTTAAGTGCATTGACGTCCCATACAAGCTGCTCAATTTGCTGGGTCATGAACTCTCGCTCTTTGTAGAAAATTTCAGCATGCTTGACCATGGCCTTGAGATCTCGCGTGAGACGCTTATTCTCAGCACTAAACTCTGCGAGTTCCCCTCTTACCCCCTCGATTTCCGATCCCATGGCATGAACATTGTTTGTCGACCAGTTTTGGCTTATCGTGCACCAATCCTCGGCTTCTTCAGTTAGGTTTCTATTCATGTTTTCGAGTTTTGTAAGAACCGACTCTACACCCAAGTTCGGCCGTTCGATCGTAGAATGCATGCGTCTGCACCCTATCTTATGGTCCCTTATTTGGTTTGACAAACCTAGGATTATTTGCTCTTTCTTCTCGACCAACTTTTCTTGTTCTTCGATTCTCAGATTCTGCTCGTCAATCTCGTCTTGCGCCTTCTGGCTAAACTCATTGGCAATCGCTAGCTCTTTCTTGGCTATCTCTAACGAAAGCGTCATGTCGCGCAGCTCGTTGGCCTTGAACCTGATTTGACACTGCATTTCGTATGCGACGAGTTCCTGGGAGGAGGCTTTGCGTTCCGCCTCATTTAATGCATCCAGAGAGCGGTCAACGCCGGCTGCTGCCCAGTTGCGCTGGGTTCGGGTTCGGGCTAGTTCTTTGGCGAGTGCTTCGCGGAACTCGAAGTGAGTGGCAGCTATCCTCTGTGACTGTTCGAGGGCGGTTTGGGCATCCTTAAGACTCTTCTTGGTGAACTGAAGAACCGTGACGATATTGGAGATGTCCTTTTCGATAGTTTTCCTAAGGTCATCTATGACCGAGGAATGCTCAGCTTTGGCCAGATCGAGAAATCTTCTGGAATTTTCGATTTCAGCTGCGTCAGACCTTCTTTCCTGCAACATGGTAACGGCACCAAGAACAAAGGCTACGCCTTCGACCCTCATTGAGAAAGAGCTGCACATGCAACACACAAAGGTTACGACAAAGACGAGGTAACTCGTAGTGAGTAGGTCGTTGGAGGAAGACATGTGAAACGTTCCAGGAGAGCTCCAAAGTGACTCGGTATTAATGAGGATGGATTCTGTTGTAGCCAACTTGTCGTGAAAAAAAAAATCTCAGTGTGTATGTAGGCGTTTGTAGTCGTGTGCGTTCGTCTTGAGCATTCAATATCGTGGTAATGATTTGTGTAGAAAGCCAATAAGTGAAGAACACTATACCATTATATACCTTAGCAGGAACCATCTTAATTGTAGTCATGTGCGTACTCGGCCCACCGAGAGAGAAGGTGCCGTGGATAGCTGTTAGGATTATCACAATCTCGTGGTTGTCATAGGTGAGCCATGGCCTCAACAGTGGAAATCATCGATTTAGCGAGGTACAACCACAAGTAGTCTTACCCCACGTAGTGAGTACCGAAATACAGTTGACCGTGGAGCTCAATTAGCAAATTCTATCCACAAGTGACCAGTTTCAGGGTCGTGGTATTCGATTCTGGAAATTTTGGATATGTACAAGGAGACGCTGGTTATCCCAGTGCATCTCTAGGAGTGTCGGTCCTACCAACGTAAATCGTCTGGACATTTGATTGTAGTTGAAAGGGTTGGATTCTGCAACTTTTATACCTATCTTAACCACTTAGTCGTGCGTGTTGTAAATCAACAACAAAATCACCAATGCAAGCTAGCTTCCGATATCGCTCAAGACAGGCTTGTAGCATCGAGTGAGCTTACTCATTCAACTCAACGTAGTTGGCAGGGAAGAGACCCGATTGGCCGTTGTAGCTACCGAGCCACCAGTCTTCATCTGGAAATTCCTACAATAACATTAGCATTGGCTTGGACGGTCATACGAACGGACTTACCAATCCAGTAACTGTCGCTCCTTCAGGGAAGCTCAGCTCGTTATCCTCGGCGGCTTCGTAGTCGTAGAGAGCAGTGGCAGTTGGGCCAGAACCGCCAGCAGACTGTGGTGGTGCCGCGGCAGACTCAGGCTCCTGCGGCGCTGAGGGATGCGCAGGTAGTGCTGGTGCAGCACCGGCATCGTCGTCGCCCTCCACCAACTCAACGTAGTTGGCCGGGAATAGACCACGCTCGCCTTGCGAGTTGGTGCCCATCCACCAGTCGTCGTCCACCATGTCGATATCCGTGACGTACTCGCCTTCGCGAAGCTCGACCTCGTTATCCTCGGCCTTCTCATAGTCATACTGGATGACTGCGCGCTTTCCAGAGCCACCTGCACCCTCATCATCATTTTGACCAGAAGCGACGGCAGCACCAACGGCGGCACCTCCTACAGCGGCGGCACCGAAAGTGGCAGCTGCGACAGCGGCGCCAGCACCACGAGCAGGATCCTTAGCCTCCACTTGGGGCTCGGGAGACATGTCGCGTGCTTGTTGCTTAGCTGCTTGATCAAGCGACCGAGCAGGCATAGGTGGTGCGTGTTCCTCGGCAGGGGACATCTCCTCGGGTTCCCGTCCGCGAGCAACAGGCATTGCAATACGAACGGGGGAACCAGCAGGCTCGGGGGATGGGCTGCGAGGCGGCTGGGGCGGTGGAGAGGGCATGCGCTGGTGTTGAGTTGCAGGCACGTCCTGTTCCTCTGCCTCTGGCTCCTTGGGTCGGGTAGGCAGGCCCGGCATCGGGACACCCCTTGGGCCTGCGTTAGGCTTGCTGGAAGTGTCGAGAGGTGGTGGACTAGAGGCTTGTGGCTCCGGTACAGGACGCGAAGAGGGTGCTCCCATGATGGGAGCGGCACCTGAGAAGCGATCCTTGAGCGAACTTACACCCCCAGCTACAGGCGAAGCTGGTCCCTCCTGTTGAGGTGAGTCACCCGTACGTTGCTCACTGAGGTTGCTGGCAGACTGCCCTGTTCGGGTGGTCTGTACAGGAGCCCATGATTTGCCAGAGTAACCACTTTGCCAGCCACCTCCTCCACTTTGTTGGCTCTGAAGAGGAGTTGGGCGACTTGCAGCATCGGCGGTAGGAGAAACAACGGTCTCGCCACGGGCCGCCTTCTTCTCGGCCCAGATCTGCGCCGGTGTCTTTCCTCCCTCGTCGGCGAATGTCTTGCTCGCAGCGCCAACGATAGGTGCTGCAGGAGCGGGCTTTGCACCGAATCCTCCAGGCGTGGGGGCCTTAGTGCCAGTGAATGCGCTCGCACCTGCAAACTTGTTTGCAACCTTGGGCTTTGGCAAGCTGGTGAGAGGTTTGGCCTGGGCGGTGAAGGCTGCTGACCTCTCTGCAAGTGACTTCGGCTTCTCTTCCTCCTCCTCGTTGTTTGACGCTCCTGTCGCGGCTGGAGACACACCGGAGGATGGAGGCGCGGCTTGAGCCTTTGCACGAATGGCGGCGATATCGACCTTGCCGACAGGCTCATATGCGCCCTTGACGACGGTAGGCCGGTCGTCTTTAGCATCGCGCGCCTGGGCTCGGATGGCTGCAATGTCGACTTTGCCAACTGGCTGATAAGCGCCCTTCACAACTTCAGGGCGATCGCTCTGCGAGGGCTGAGAGCCGGTGGATTCGTCTTTCCTTGCGGTAAGCTCGGCCATGTTGACCTTGGTGGGAGTGTAGGCGGTCCCGACCTTCTCCAGCTGCGATCTAGACACTTGAGGGGCGTCGGCACCCCAGCCATCTGCATCTTCGTCGCCCTTTGGCGCAGGCGCACGCGAGCGGCCCAGTGGGTTGAACCCAGAGTTTCCGCCTCCGATGGACGTGGGTGTAAAGACAGGCTTCTTCGCGGCAACGGGAGGTGGGCCGCGTGAGGCAGGAACGTCGGGGGCACCGCCGTACTTGGCGCCAGATGCATCTGCGACCTTCTCAACGATCCTCTCGGGGGTGAGGTCTGCATCGGAACGTGCGGTGACTTGGACGTGGTATCCCTATGCGGATCAGAAGACGAGCAGGGAAGGCCTGGAAATACGCACATGTAAAAGCTTTGAGACAACTGTAAGGTGGCTGCCAAAGTAGCCCTTTGTCCGCTCTGGAACACCCTCACCGCACTGTTTGCGTATCAGCATCGTATTCCTGGCGGGTGCTGCGGGGAGCTTACCCAAGCTATCAGGACGTTCTTAGGCAGCGACGTGTTGGGGTCCTTGACTTTGACGAAAGCAAACTGGATGCGGCCATCCGAGAATTCGTCTATCAGGTCGAGTAGCTCTCCCTCTGTACAAAGTCAGCATCGATGCCTCGCAACGTTTCCCAAGCTGTGCTGTGAAGTGCCGACGCCCCGAGCTTGGGCTGACACCTTGCTACAGCCCGAGAGCTCTCCACGGTTGGGTGTCTGCTGGCTGCACTGCATGCACAGCCATTGGGGGAGTGCTGCATGCATTCCACATACCTCCGGTGCTCTGAACCTTCAGGACGCTCTCTTTTCCGCCGTCTTGCTGGAATGCGCTGACAAGCGGGGCAGCTACTGTGAAGACAGCCCATTGACCATATGTGGGCGAGCTCGCCTGGGGACCAGATGGCGCCGGGGCATTGACGACATTCTGGTAGCTCCGGGTGATGTTGGGGCCGTTGCTGGAGGTGTTGAGCGTGGCCATGGTGGGAGCAGGAGGAGTAGAGGGGAAGCTTGGGGGATGTGGTGGAGAAGAGGGAGGCAGAGAGAAAAGAGGCCCAGGTGGTTCGCAGCTAGCACAATGGGTCGGACAAGGCACAGTACGGGTATCCGTATGTGTGTATGTGTAATTGGGCGTGAATTATCCTAGTCCAGTATGTAAGCACAGCCGCCGCGCACAAGTTCGGTGTGAAGAGCAACTATGTCATGCTTGGCTCGGGCACCTGGCAAGCGGTGCCGACGGCACGCCCAAGGCCTTCAAGGAGACCCTCGTCCGCCTCACCGCGACGATTGGACATAGCTCCTCCGCACCGCCTGACAACGCTGCATGCAAAGCAGCATATCCTGCATCCTTCAAACCGCCGCCTAGACTCAAGTGCTCCATAGCAGCTGCATTCTAGCCTTCTTTCACCTCCACTCTGCCACGACAACACTAGCATCGACAACACACCCATCGCACCGCCTTTTCGAGTCTCCGTCCCGACGCGCGCTGATACAACGCATCTGTCGCCGTCGTCGGTCGTCTGTCATCGTCGTATGTCTCCATGTCCCTAGCCTGCTCGCGCTCGACAATGAGTCTTTTGTGAACTTTGCACCAGCACGGCTGCGTCGCCATGGAGGACCGGGAATCGAGCGTAGCGTCGTCGGTCGACTTCTACAGCTCTAATGCAAATCCACCCCATGCGACGGATGCGCAGAGCGACGCGCCTCTCGCGAAGCGCAAAGCAGAAGATGCGCCTGTTGAGCATGAAAAGAAGCGCAAGCTCAGCGTCTTTTCTCCTTGCGCCTCGGGCGACTTGAGACGTTGCGCAAGGCTACCACCTGAATTGTGGCAGCATGTTTTCTCTTTTTGTTCGCTTGCAGATCTCGGTCGATTGATCCAGGTCAATCGATCTTTCCTATCCTATCTCACAGACGTGCGCAGCGTGTCGACTTCAAAGTCGCATCCTGGCCGTCTGCATCTCCTAAAGTCTGAGTCGTTGTGGGCCTCTGCCCGCAATGCCATGTGTACTAAGCCTCCGAAGCCCCTCCCTGGCTTCACTGAGCTGCAGATGTGGCAGCTGGCTTGGTCCAAGAGATGCCAGTTCTGTAACAAGCTTGATTCTCATACTCCAGGCGAGCGCGTATGGCAAAAAGGACCTGGCAAAGCAGGCGTGAGAGTCATCTGGCCCTTCGCTATTAGAGCGTGTGGGCCGTGCCTGCTAGAACAATGCCAGACGGTAAGTTGCGCCTTCCCACCAGACGGTCGCAACTGACATATCTAGGACGCGAGCCTTCTCTTTTCGGCTTCTTCCGCCTTACGACCCGCCCTCCCTTTCGCGCTTCTCACAAACGACCAGCATTATGTTGCTGCATATGCACTGCAATCTGTGACCACGCCAGCCAACGTGGACATTGCCAAGTTCTACTACAAGAAGCATGTTGAGGAAATCACGCAGGAGATGAATGAAGCCATCGGTCGTGGCCCTACAGCAGCTGAGGAGTGGTCTAAAGGTCTCGATGCTCGCGGGAAAGAACGCATGAAGGTAGCCGAGAACTGGGAGCGCTGGGAGGTCAAGAATCAATGGATGGAAGAGCACAAGGATGCGAAGCGCGCAGCATCTGCAGCTCCCTCACACGGTGCCACGTCACACAGAGAATCATCCAAGTCACCCCCTCGCCGAACTCCTTCTCCCATAATTCATGCCCCGGTTCCAGCGAGTAAGTATACCTCTGCTGTTTCATTTGCTGCCAGACATGGCGATGCTTCTCGATACTTCAACAACACCCCTCCAGTTCCCAACCTAACAGGTGTAGCACCATCGTCTCAGCATGCGCAAGCCCGACCGCCCACTGTCCCACCACAGGCTTTTACTCCTTCTGGCCAGCGAAATCTCCACGATGCAAACGAGGCCAAGGCGACTCGGAAGACCGACATAGAACGACGGTGTCAGCAAATGGATCCTCCTATTGCTCCAAACATTCTGCGCCACATGGACTCGTTCAAAGCTGCTATCCAGATCTCACAGCCAATGAACGATTATGCATGGAGTGTGCTTCAGCCCCGCTTGATCGCCCAACTTCCTGCTGCCCAACAAGCAGAAGCCGACCACGTGGCTCGGGCTGCTTCATTTCCTACAAAACCAGTGGACCGCCGCCACCCGGATGCGAACTCCAAGGAGGCCAGAGAAGTCATGGACCGGGAATGGGAGGAATCGCAACGTCCCATCCGCGACAGGCTCGATGCTATTGCCGACGATTTCATCAACCAGGACTGGGATCATGGCAATGCCGTAACCTACGATAATAGCCCAAAGTTTGCGGCTGACCTTCTTGCTTACGTGCGACGCACATACTACGCTGAGGAAGCGGAACAGGAATCCGCTCAATCTGGGCAACATACGCGGCCTTCTACTGACAATATAAATGCTAGGCCTAAACTCGTCCTGGATAACATGAAATGGGTGTACGATAATAAGATCAAGCCTCTAACAGAACAGTTCCGTAAAGACATCTTCCTGTGCCGTGGCAGTGGGTGCGAACACAACAACAAATTCTATGGTTTCGAGGGCGTCACGCAGCACTACGGAGCAAAGCACACTGCTGCGTTCAGTTCAGGAAACGTAGTCGTGGCGTGGAGAGAAGCCGAGTGGCCAGAGGAAACCCCGTTCCATCCAGATCCTCTGTCTGTGAAACAACCTCACCATGCTCACCACCCTTCTTCTAGCACGAATGGGTTTGGTGGCTTCTATGGCGGATACTCACGTGCAGGCACATCGACACCTCACATGCCTACTCATCATCCACAGGCGAGCCCTGGACCTTACAACTACGGAGGTCAGTACAATGGACCATTCGCTCCACCACAGGTTCCTGCTGGTACAATGCCCGGATACGAGTACCCCCAGCCATATGCGACTCCCGTGGATATGTACGCGCACCAAGCCATGGGACCTCCGGGTTATGGTGCTCACACGGCCCAGAACCCATATTTGACCTCTCCTGCAATGATCAACAATGCCATAGCTCCTCCTCCTCCTCCTCCACCACCACCCAACATGCCACCACCCGGTCAAGGAGTTCCTGAGATCGCACCCAGCGGTACAGAAGATACTGGCCAAAGTACTAGCTCGTTTGACAAGCAAGTAAGTACGGTCATCGAGATGACACAGGACATCTGGAAGCGCACCTCTGGGATCAAAGATATGCCGAACAGCCTTAGGATCTATGTGTTGCTACATCGCGTCATCTCCAAGTTTCATGTAGAGTTCAACCATGAACCGAACCTGAATCACTTCATTGATGCCATGTCTAATCATGAGATGCCAAAGGCTTTGAAGAACGCGCCAGGGCTCTCGTGTAAAGCTTGTCAGACTGGCTCTTCACATCACTTGGGAAGTTCTTTCTACTCGAAGTCGGAAGAAAGAACAACATACACTGTTCTGGGTCTGCTATCCCACTTCAGGAGTCATCACCTGCCATACCAGCAACATATACCTGGCCATGGAATTCCTGTTGCCCCTCTGGACTGGAAAGAGGACATGATCGAGCTGCCCAGCGAACGTTTCATTTCTGGACTCATACACGCTCCAGGCATGGACGACGAGAAGCTACTAATGATAGCAACTGTCTTTCCCAGCCTGTTTCCCATGCCGTTGCCCAAGATCGGCGTGATTGATAGTCATGGCCTTGCGTCCCCAGCCTCATCAGGACCAAAGGATACGGACAAAACGCCTGGTGCAGTCGATGTTCCTGGTGAAACTATAGCACGCCCAAGCTCTGTCATGAATGCTGCAGAAGTAAACTTGTCACTGCCACCCAAACCATTGGAGGCCGGTTACGAGCCTGTTCGACCAACCCTTGCCGGTGAATCGAATGAGGCATCCGGCTCCACGAACAGGAAACGTTCTTACCGACAAAGCCCGCCCGTTGAGCGCAGGCAACACCATTATGATGAGCCTAGATACTATGTAGGTGATATACAGTACTCCACAGGGCTGTCAATGGGACTAACATGCTTCTCCGTCAGGTGTCCAGGGATCATCTCGATGATGGCTATCATCGTCCGCGGGAGTACGTGGAGTACGCGCCTAGTCCTAGGATCATCCATGCGGGTCCTGCGTATGACGACTATTCTGGTCGCCGGACAGCTTTCCGCGAGCAAGAGCGATTCTATGGACCACCCGAAGATGTGGTCTATGCGCATCCGCGGGAAGGGAGTCACGGCAGTCGGGAATACAGTGCGTATCCCCGCCCGGTTCGATACTACGAAGAAGATGATCATCGGTCCGAATATCGGTTCATGAATGAGCGTCAGTCGAGAGACGCAAGTCCACCTCAAGGACAATCTGCAGCGGATCGATTCTTAGCGGAGAATGAGCCTCCACAGCCACCTCCGTCGCAAACACAACCAGAACCGGAGGCTGCAATACCAGCCCAGGAGAATGGAGACGGACCCCGTTACACGCCCCCACCTCCTGATACTTCTGTACCGGCTGAAGCGACGGCACCTGTGCGCCCACTTGCACCACCACACCCTCGTGCTCCATCCACTGTCTCTAACAATTCTCGATATGATGATTATCAATCTAGTGGGTACCGGATGCCCATGCCTGGACCGAGCGGCCCACCACGAAGGTCTGGGCCTCAACGCCGAAGGGATCGACCCAACGACAATCGAGGACCGTCTCGATATCATCGATACATGAGTGTCGCACGCGAAGACCCCTACGGCCGCGGATCTAGCATGAGTCGTTCGCAGAGTAGGAGATATGAAGAACAACGGCGCCGTATCGATCAACAAGAAACACCGCAACCGAATGCCGAACCTGACTACGAGCCTGCGTATTCTAGAGAGCACAGTGTTGATCAGTCCGTACAGGACGATGGCTTCTATCCGCCTGCCCGCCGTCACCCAAGGGGCTACGTATCTGTGCAAGATCGCCTGCATCCTCATGCGTACTCACCACCACGATATCGTTACGACGAACCTCGTGGGCCACAACCAGTTTATGTTGATGAGTATGGGCATCCCATCCACGACTACGAAGTCATTCGTGTACGCGGTGACACTAGGTATCGCGCCCCGTATATGCCACATCAACCTCATCGATACGAACATGATCCATATGGATACGTACCAGTACAATACGAGAGACCTCCACCACAGAGATACAACAGTCGTCCTGAAGAGTATATGTACTACGAAGAAAGGGAGAGACCGATGCCTAGGCGCGCGGTGCCGGAAGTGGAGAACGATGCATATGAGCCGCCACCACCGGAGATTAAAGTGGAGAGTGTGCCAGTGCCTATGCCACCAGAGGCGTCTTAATTTCGCATGTTAGCGTGGCGTTTGAGATTGTAACGATTCCCTGGTCTTGTCTGTGCCTCTGCTGTCCTTCATCTAGCTTTGCATGGCTGGGTGTTGTGGGGTCTAGTCGGCTAATGCTATCTCATTTGGTTTGGTAGTCTACACTATCAAACAATGATGTTCTTGTAGTAATTTCTTGCCCGAATTTAATGAGATGGCTTTGCTTCTACAAAATAGTCTCACTAGGCAAAAGCCAATACCTTTTCGTATTGTATGATATTGAGCATGTACAGCTACAAAAGGAAGAAGAATGACATGACGAACAGCTTTTATTTTGGCATATGTGCCTTCTATAGGGTATCAACATGAAAACAGGACAAAAGAAATGGACGAGGCATGTCTATGCAGTCGATTGAATGACTGGTTCCACTGAAGACTTCTCTTCCACTCCCTGAGCGGCAGCATCGATTTTGTTTTGAGTGAGGCGCTGTGTCACGGTTAGTATAGCTCTGCAGTCCTTAGTATGATTACATACCAACAAGTTTCTCAAAAGTACTGCAATGGTGACCTTGCCAATGGCAGGAACGTAGATCGAGGCCTTTTCTTTGACCTCTGGTGTAAAGTTCCTCTCACTGGAGAAGTTGATGCATGCAGCTCCGTCCCTCATCGACTCCAGCGGGACTTTGTACTTGTCTCCAGGTACACCGCTGATGACTACATCGCTAAGTGGGAGGCAGTCATTGAGAGTCCAGCCAGGCTTCTCCACCACCTCGTGCCTTCGCTTCCTGAGACCAACGCCTCGCGTGAACTCTTGCACGTCACTAATATCCACGCTGTATACGTGGGCACCGTCGTTTGCCAGTAGTGCGGCCAACGGTCTGCCTACGACCTCACTTCTGTTGATGACGGTAATAGTGCGTCCATGAAGCCTGTTGCCGTACGGGAGGATAGTGTTGTAAATCCTCAAATACTCAAGGATCTTGATCACGGCCAATGGGGTGCACGGCAAGATACTCTTTTTCGTGTTGGCAGGGTCGAGGAAGCGAATATTCTGGTACATGTTGAAGATGTAACGGTGCGATAGTCCCTCAACATCCTTGTCGATAGAGACAATCTGCTGGAGATACTGGTCCTGACGGTTGCCGAAGATGGGGTAGTAAACGATTATGCCGTCAACGGCAGGATCATTGTTCGCTTCGATGAGGCGGTCCTCAAGAAGTTCGCGATCGACTTCGCGGAGGTCAAATGCGAAGCCACTATGACAGCGTTAGTAGGCAGCCTTCACCCAGCTTGCAACCAAAGGCATATCGATGGAAGAAGTGAGTTTTGATCAATGGACGCGCTCACTTTTCGACACAAGTTTTGCCTGTCCATTCTGCGTATACTCTCGCCGCAGGATCAGCGCTGGAGAGAAAGCCGACAAGGAGCGGTTTGCGTTGAATCTTGTTCAGACCATCGCGAACTTCGTCCAGAAGGCCCTTGGCGATGTTGTTCGCGAGGATAACTTTGCAGTTGGGTTTATCGTCGGCCATGGCGGGGTAACTTTGCTGTTTGGGGATACGTCTGGGGACTCAGTGGGTGATAGTCGTCAGTGCAAGTAGATCAAGAGATGAGTTTTCAAAGTCCGATTTTATTTCACTGCACGGGACCACAAAAGCCAGTCAAGCTTCTTACATTGGCGCAATTAAACGCTCTTTTCTTCACTGCCGAACACTTCCCATCACTTTTTTTGCGCGACCCGCCCCACCATCCGATACCGGCCAATCAGCAGCACCGCAACTCCGTAACGTCATTGCCGGGAGTCTGCAACTTTCTGAATCGCGTGCTTTCGAGGTACCCAACACCACATTACGATACCCCGGACGCGACGAGAAGATGTCAGATATCCAGCAATATCTGCTCGACTTCGACAGAAACAAGAAAGAGGCGACGACCACTGCTCAACGGAGCGCGACGCGTATGTACGAGGCTCCGGCGGGGCATTACGTGGGATGAGGACTGATAGCAGACAGGACTGAAGAATGGCGAGTTGAAGCTTATAAGCCTGGTCACTGACCTTGGAGAGTTTTTAAATAGTGAGGATGGGGCCACACGATCAAAGAGTACGTACATCTAGAATTACAGTACGGTCTATGCTAATCTGACGCAGCAATGTCGTATCTCGCAGAGGTACTGGCATCCGTTCCGCAGAAGGTCCTCTCCCTTCAACAGCGTACGTCTACCACGATCGCTTCACCCATACTACCTCGCCTTATGCATCAGTCTACCACACGCTTCGAGTCAAATCGAAGCATCAAACGGGCATGGCGTTCTTAGCATGAGAATATACTGCAGTGCGGAAGGGCTGGGCTAACACGAAGTTCAGGAAACCTACTCTGCGATTTTATCCTTTCCCGAACCGAAGACAACGAAGGCCTCGGATCATGTGCAAAGGCACTTTCGGCCCTGGAGGAGCTAGGAAAGTGGGACGACCAGCGGGTAGTCGATATCATCGATGCCCTCCTGAATAATACACATCCGTTGCGCCAATACAAGCAGCAGAGCGAACGCTACCCAGTATTGCGCTTGATCGATACGCTTATGGCAAAATACCGCGAAGTCCTACGAGCCCACCACGATGCGACGCCGGACTTTTTGGGACGCTTTATAGCATATTTTGACGGAGAGAAAGACCCTCGGAACCTCATGGTCGTGTTTTCGATACTGAGGGTGCCGATGACCGAGTGGAATGTTGGCGGAGATGCTCAGGACCTATTCGACGCAGTCTTTAATTACTTCCCGATTACCTTCAGACCGCCTCCCGACGACCCATACGGTATCACCGCGCAAGATCTCAAGGATCGCTTACGAGATTGCATTTCGTCTACAGCCGACTTTGCGCCATACGCGTTCCCCGCGCTCCTAGATAAGCTCGATTCCACGTCCATGAACACCAAGCGTGATGTTCTGTCGACCATTACTGCCTCAGTGACCGAGTACGGGCCGCGGACAGTATCGTTATACGCAGTTACACTGTGGGATGCGCTGAAGTTCGAAGTTTTAAATGTACAAGAAGAGGATCTGGCGAAAGAAGCACTTGCAGGTCTAGCTGCGATTGCAAGGACACTTTCACTCGGTACTCCAGGATCACTCAACGCATATCTCAAACCAATCATCAAGGAGTGCAACGAGCACCTAGAAGATGCACCCACGAAACAATCGCAGGCTTCCGCAAGGTTTCTTCAAAGCGTTGCTAATGTTTCCCCAGAAGTTACTAGAATTCTACTAGCCGGAGTACTCCCGAATCTCTTCTTACTTTTCCAGACAGCCGACACTATGGCAAAGCGCCGAGGATTACTAGAAGTTCTTGTTCAACTCGCGAAGGCCAACATCGACGTGTATGGCGACTGGAAGAAGATGGGTCCTGGCGGAGCAGAAGTTGACAACAACGCGCTCGTTCAGTTCCGAGACCAAGCCCTGGAAGTAATGCTGAATGGTCTGGAGACAGCCCCCGTCAAGGAGGTGTCTTTCCGACTCGTCTGTCTTGATGGACTCATCCAGCTATCGAAAGCGCGAGGATTGTTAAGCGATGAAGATATCGGTCGCGTCATCCAGCTTTTGCATTCCATCGTCATCCACGAAGAGTCGTACGGCAAGGATGAGATAAAAGAAGCAGCTATCAATGGCATCGTCGAAATTGCTCACCAGAAGCCACAGGTTGTCGTCGAGAGAGCATTCCCGGCTTTCCTTGCGCAGCTTCCAGATACGGATGCAAATGGATCAAACAATTACTCGACCGTGCTTGAAGCTTTTGCCAAGCTAGCAGGTGAAGAGCAAGTTTTCGACACAGTTGTACTGCGACTGAAGAATAAATTCAGCGCAGCAGTCCAACAAGGCGCTTCTTCTACATACATCGTCGCACTCCTCTCTGCGATGTTGTATGCACTTAAGAAGGGTGAGAACAAGTTGTCGCAGGGTTTAGACAGTTCAACCTACTACAGGGACATCGCGCTACCACTTCTCCAGCGCGCATCAACTTCTGACGAATCACACCCGGTAGCCTTCGATGATGAGACAACACTGGATCTTGTCGGTCGTATTTGCAACTTGATCATCAGGTACTTGCCTATACATCAGCAGAACACTGTTGCTACTGAGCTGTACACCCTATTCCGGGAAAAGCCACAAACTGAGCTCCCGCCTTTCAACCTCAATGCTGGTACCGAAGCGAACAAGACCATGATCGTCTCTACTCACCTCCTCGCTTCCCTTCGCAAGGATGCAATCTTGCCATGCGAACTACAACTACTGGTCTCTTCTCTTGCAAACTACGCCCAGCAACCTTCCCTATCTCTACCTATCCGATCAGCCTCCCTTCGTCAAATGTCGCTGGTCATCAACAAGTACTACACTTCTGCAGCACTCAAGACAAGTATGGACCCCCTTGTCGCAGAGCTCGATCTCTTTAGCCCAGAGAAGCTTGATCCACCACGGATACGCATCATCTTCGCTTGTCTTAAAGGCATAGTACTACGCAGCAGCCCTGCGCTGAACACGTTATACCCAACGCTCTTGTCACTACTATCACATCCGAAGTATGGAATTACAGTCGCCCAAGGTTTCACAACCCTTCTGCAACCCGACGACCTTCTCACCAAGGAGAACCACTGCCAAATCCTTGGCCTGCACAAACACAAAAGCTTTGCTTTACTGGTGCCAAGTATCACGAAAGCGTTCCGAGAATCAGATCCCCAGACCAAACCCAATTACCTCATCGCACTTAGTGGTGCGCTAAGATGGATGCCTTTTGATATAGTAGTCGAAGAAGTTGGGCAACTCGTTACCCTCCTTCTACAGTCGCTTGATCTCAAGGGCGCTGACAGTGTTAAAGAAGCCGCAATTGGCACGCTTACCTCTACACTTGTTGAGAAGCCTGAAGTTCTCGAGGAACATGCTGGTGCGCTGATCTCTCGACTTCTTGCTAATGCTACTATCAGCAAGGAGAACAAGGCTACACCACCACCGCCAGCAGTCAGGGTGGCGGCGTTGAAGTGTTTGCACCTGGTAGCAGAGAAGTTCAAGGAGGAGAGGATACTAGGATATAGGAAGGAGGTTGTGAGGAGACTTATTGCTGCGTTAGATGATGGGAAGAGAGAGGTCAGGAGTGTAGCGGTAAAGTGCCGGGCGAAGTGGTTACTAGCTGACGAACCCGATGATGAATAGACGGTAGACACAGCAGGAGACGTGTAGACTATGAGCGTTGCTCTGAACAAGTCGACTTTTGAGACGCCTATGACTTGCTACAAACGTGCAGAATGGTATAGTCTCGCCCAACATTTGAACGCCAGAAGTGCCTTTAACGCCACCCATGCAATTACATCTTGTGCCTTGTTAGATTTCATACCCTAACCTTTTTGGGCGTCTTCTCCTCATCGTCGCCTTCACTTGGCGTATCCTCAACACCAACTTCCTCGTCATCGTCGTCGTTCCTTCCTCGCTTAAGACCCTTCATCTTCCTAGTCTGCAGATTGGCAAAGTCTTGCTTGCCAACATGGATCTTACCCGTCTTGTCACCCATGATGTCAGTGTCAATGTTCTTCTTCGTCCGCGGCTCAGCACCCTTGGGCTTCTTGAGCGATTCCTTCAGCATATCCGGATCAGGGAACATCTCGCGGCCGAGCGCAAAGTCCATGCGCGGGCCCATTTCCTCGACTTCGATGCGCGGCAGCTTTTGGCCTGAGCGCTTGGTGCGGAGGAGGTAGAAGCGGAGTTTTATTTGCGGGTTGGGGAGCGCGTCGGTGGGTTCTTCGGCGGAGATGGAGATGAGGTACTGGAGGCCTTCGACGTCGACTTCGGTCGCATCCTGGCCCTTGAACAGGTCGATGAACAAGCTCTTTGCTAGGGTGTACTTTGTCTGGTTGGGGTCTTCGAAGACGGTGCCGTGGAAGCTGATTAGTGGCTTCAGGCCGATTGACGGCTTCTTGTTCTTGAATTGCTGAAGCGTGCGGAAGGTCTCTGCGTTGATGTACAACTCTAGCATATCCAACATCTTGTATGAAAATGTTCGTGCCAAGGTCAAGCAGTGCGGTCGCTTCTTCGAGTGTAGAGACAGGACGAGGAGCGAGGTGTCGTTCTTCTGGGAGAAGAACTCGAGCGAAGAAGCATCATCGAAGGGGTGGATGTCGTTCTTCTTGGTGAAACGCTCGATAAAGGGTCGCTTGATGGTGCAGAGATCGGCAACGGCGAGCTTGAGGATCTGAGAGGTCTTCTGGCCAGAGACGAAGAGCGTGGTCTTGGGGTTCTCGTTCTGTTGCGGTTCGCGCTTTGCCATTGCGCGCTTGGCGCGAGCATTCTTTGGTTTCCTAGTGAATCATGTTAGGATCGCCTAGGTGTGGAGGGGCCGCAGCTGTCTTTGACGTACACTGCCTTGATCATTTTGTCGTTGTTAATCTGCGTGGTTTCCTGATGCCGAAATCTTGGCTAACAAAAAAAGTCCGGGGCTCTGCGGCGCCGGGGAGACTATTGGCCGATCTGATAACAAAGCGGCAACGGCGGGGTGATTCCGCAATTCGGCCCTCTGACGTGATTTCACAGGCTGTTTCCCTTGGGCGGCGACTAAATATTAATCAGATCATACACTCATTCGAGAACACCAGCGACATCCAACCGCCCCTCATAACCCGACATAGCCTATCGATACAATGGCTACCATGCAGGAGATGACGGATGAGTCGGCCTTCCAGTCGACCATCTCCGCGCTTGCGCCCTCCACTCTCGCCGTCATCTACTTCCACGCACCATGGGCGAAGCCATGCGAGCAGATGGGAGTCATCCTGAAGACGCTCGCCAGCACATACCCCGCCGACGCGCCCATAGAGTTCCTCTCGCTCAACGCCGAAGACCTGCCTGACGTCTCTGAGCAGTACGATGTCACTGCCGTCCCATACATCGTTCTGCAGAAGGATGGCAAGACTCTCGAGACAGTTTCAGGCTCAGATGCATCCAAAGTACGAGCAGCAGTTGAGAAGTACGCTGGTGCCGGCAGCGGCCAGTCGTCCAGTCTACCACCCGCGCAAACCGTCACACGACCACAGGAGAACGGCGACAGCACGGGGAAGAGCCTCGCTGGCTACGCACCTGGCGCACAGGACCCCAAGACCGCACCCGAATACAGCGCGAGCGAGCACCGGGAAGGCGAGCAGCAGACAAACAAGGACGAGTTGCACCAAAGACTAAGCGAACTCGTCAAGGCAGCACCAGTCATGTTGTTCATGAAGGGTACACCGAGTTCGCCCCAGTGTGGCTTCAGCCGGCAGACAGTGGCAATCCTACGTGAAAAAGGCATTAGGTACGGTTTCTTCAACATCCTGGCCGACGACGAGGTGCGACAAGGACTTAAGGAGTTTGCCGACTGGCCGACCTTCCCACAACTCTGGGCAGACGGTGAGCTAGTAGGCGGTCTGGATATTGTAAGTACACCACCCTCGAGCATTTACACACACTAACAATTCGCAGGTCAGGGAAGAATTCGAAAATGACCCCGGCTTCCTCTCGCAGCACGCCGCCAATGCTCCCAAGCCAGCAGCCTAGGTGGCTTCACGAGCCCAAGTATGCCACGATAATCAGATTCCGAGGAACGGGAGAAGCGAATGGAGAGTTCAGGGCTTGGTAAAGAGATACTGGACCGGCATCGCCAAATTACGACGATTATGACAGCAAAAGTCTCGTACGAATAACGCGTCTGTGTGAATGAGTGTCTTGGGCGGGCTTGATTGTAGGTTCCAGACCATGATCCAAGGCATGCATATAGACTTCCATGGAAACGTAGCACTTGGAGCATGGTACCGTAGCGCTGGCGTGGAGGGTGTATTTGGTTTGTAGTCTTCTCCAATACCAATTTTCTTGCTCACGTTATCCAAGTCGCTTTGTTCATGTTGAAGCGATCAGTCCTGGACATCTCTTTGACTTGTACTACGGATAGAAGTAAGGAGAGTGGGGGAAGCTTGGAAGGGGAAGTCACTTTATTCATGACGCTGCGTATTCGCTTCTCAGAGACCATAATCGGGCGAAGCATGGGGTTCCGGGTCTTTCAGAACACCAAGAGTATCTACGGTTGAAGACTCCTCGTGCTCGGTCAACAGGGGCGTGTAATGCTCCCCTATTCGATGAATGTCCAAGACGTTTCTGATATTTACATTAGCTTCCTGCAAAGTCAAAATTGAAGCTCGGATATACATGGAGAAAACCATGAGCACTGCTTCTCAACACAAGAGCCACATGTTCAGATGATAGCAACTTCGAAGCAGATTGAAGAAACCTATTGACGAAATCTCTCCCGTCTGCGCGCAAATCTCAAGTCAAGGATTGGTTCCGCCACTGTTTCGATATGTCGCTTGCGATATATCTTAGAGACATGTTCATGTGCTATATGCTTGCACATGCTGCTGCTACGTAAATCGCTTCTGCTTCCTATGCGGTCTAGGCGTGTTTACCTCACAGAAAAGTTTAGAATATCATAGACCTACAACCGACTTTCCGTGGGAGATATCTTCAATGATATCCGTGTTAGGGCACTGGAAATGTTCACTTCGAATTGGTACATGGATGGACCGAACTCCATCGTCGTTGGGCCTAATGGAGACTTTTTGCTTCCATGTTTTAGCTCAAAGAACAAATGATGGCCGTAATCTATGTGTGATTGATTATGCGTGGAAGGCCAATCATGTTCTACGAGATATGGGATATCATGAGCTGTGCCCCTTGTAATACCCTTAGCGTCTGGCTACATGTTCGACGAAGCTACTCCTGCTGTGTTATTGTTATTGTTATTGTTGTTGTTAAGCCCTGCGTAGATGCCGAAGTAGTGTGATTGTTGGGCTGACATGGAGGATTGAGCGCGTATTCGATGATGACACAGATTAGCGCGTTCCTGTGCCGACGCGGTTCCCCGCCCGTCGCTGCCTCGAATTAAACCTTCACCGCAACACTCTTTTTCCATCGTAGATCGTCAAGACTTATAGGAGGCTCTAGTCTGGGCATTTACAGGCTTTGGACAGCGCTGCACACCATGGGTGTCTAATACCTGGCACCATAGTTATATGCAGGGTCAGCGGTAGTACGCCTTCAACCACGCTTCGGACTCCGAGACTAATCACGGCACGTCGATGGTATGCTGCAGACACGGTTTTATTTTAGGAGTCAGCTTGTCTCAGTATGATCTGCTTGCAACCACGTCTATTGTACACCAATTTACAGTGTTGAACCTGATCCATCACTTTCTGAGGCTATCACTCACAGCACACAATCTATTGGCCGCGGCCATTTCCAGAGTGAAAGGCGACAGATAAGCCACAACATGCCTTCAACCTACTCACAACCAGTCTCAAAGATTCCTCCGACGAAGCCCGATACAAGGTCTCTCCCTCGAATTCTCTGCCTACACGGCGGCGGCGTCAATGCCGCTATCTTCAAAGCGCAATCGCGGTCCCTCATACGCCATCTTCAACACTCCTTTCGCCTCGTATGGGCTGACGGCCCCTTCTTCTGCGATCCCCACTCAGACATCATTGGCGTATACAGTGACTACGCACCTTTTCGGCGCTGGCTACGATGGCTTCCTGAACACCCTGAAATCGATGAGGATACCTGTATAGAAGAAATTGGATATGCGATGCGAACAGCAATGGAAGACGATGACCGGGAAGGCGGCACAGGCGAGTGGGTAGGCTTGATGGGTTTCAGTCAGGGGGCGAAGCTATCCGCAAGCCTACTGCTTGAACAGCAAGCCAGAGAAACCCAAGCCCGCAAAGAAGGAACAAAGATTGCTACTGGTCTGACAGGAATTCCAAGCATAAGGTGGAGATTCGGAATATTACTAGCCGGTCGGGCGCCCTTGAGCAATCTAAACCCCGAGCTGATGAAGAGCGACGCACTTGTGAGTGCGGGCAACATCTCTGAAGGTTTTCAGTTCTGTAAAGAGGTGGACGAGGAAGCCACACTGCACAAACCAACGCTCCATGTCCATGGCATGGCAGACCCGGGACTACATCTCCATCGAAAACTGTTACACGAATATTGCGAGGACTGCACGGTAACATTGGTGGAATGGGAGGGCGCGCACCGGATACCACTCAAGAGTTTGGACGTGGACCGAGTGGTTGACGCGATATACGACATGGCTGAGATGACTGGGGTGAAGGTTTTGAGGACTGTTTAAATTCACGGGATGGCGACTTCTGGGGGATCGCTGTTACTACACTTAGTCGATGCCACCAAATGCGATCTTTGAACAACCATTTTTTCTTTATGGCCTATGTATACGCAAGAATTCTGGGCGGTAGATATGTGGAGATCACCAATAACAATATCTTGTCAATGTACCAAAGCTTCTTACTTGCTACTCGGCGTCCAACTATATTGCTTCCTGGTACGATATTTAATATAGTGCGGCCTGCCACAAGCACCACACCTCGCATCTGCTTACGAGGGAAGCCAACCCAAATACAGAACGCCAATCAGCTCGGTTAGCTTTGAGGACGCACGCCCTGATCTTACGCATTTCTCTCACGCTTTGTCTTGATATGTGAGTGAGCACAGGTGCGTGATGTGGCTAACAACGTTACACTGAACGCAACAGTTTCTTGTCAGATTATCTTAAGGGAGTAGAGGCTCATCGTTACGGCCATTGCCAGGCCCTGCGTGAGCTGTGCCACGTTGAGACCTGGAGGCTGGTTCGGCATAAGGTCTTAGTCGAAGCTCTGGTCGTTATCAGATGTAGAGAGGACATTGCAGTCATCATCATAGACTCCTTCGGTCTGTGTAGGAAGACTATCGAGGACAGGTAGCTCTATGGTGACCTGCCTCTGAGACATGTATCTCTTGCGCGTTCGTGTCGTTACCTCTTGACTGATTGGACAGTGGAGTCCAAATATCTTCATTCAAGTTATCAAATCTCGGCATTCTTCGAGTGACGATACACATGCCGCTTGACGCTTGAAGCCGCCCGCTTCTTGTTGCAGTAATTTGGGATGTTCTGTTTTACGCTTGGTAGCACGATCTGCGTGCTCATGGACGATGACCTCCTGTAGAGATCCATTTTTACACTGATTGATGTGATTCGAAGACGTGTTCATAAAAAGCTTAACAAAATAGATTAATGATGTCTTATTGTAACCTTCTCTTGATTTGCCTTCTTCTCCTTCTCTTCTCTCTTCAGCCTTGTCTTTTCTGCTAACTCTTGTCTCCACTTCATTCCGTATTTCATGATCCAAATGACGACCACAAGCAATACAGCCATCACCAGCGCTATGAACGTAAACGCCCATCCCGGGTTCATAGCATGGCACATCGGGATAATTGCCGCCGAGCCACCAGCACTCATCATACACCTGGCAAAGTTGACGGCTGCTGTCGCGGCTGCGGGTTTATCACGATGGAGATCGAGGAGCAAACCATTGGTGATATTAAATGCACCAGTCACACCAAAGCCCATAATGAATAGAGCAACTTCCGGGCCAACGATGTGTGTTCGATATTTGAGTGTCCAGCCGAAGATAAGCACTCCGATCATACCAATGATGTGGCATGGAATCAGAATCTGTAGACGAACTCTCTCTATGGGAAAGTTGGTGAGGTCTTGCTGTTTGCCTTTGGATATAGTCATACCAACAGCTTTAGCATAGCGTCTGAAGTTCCAATCAACAACTCGACCCAGAGTGAGTGAGGCAATCAGAGAAGCTACGCCATTCGAGATGTAGCAAAGACCGATATGCAATTCATCAAGGCCATACGCAGCGTAGAACAGTTCTGGGATGGCAGAGATCGTAACCATTTGACCAGTGAAGAAGAGGCCATTGTAGAGTAGGATGATTCCCGACTCCTTTTCAGCTAAGATGCGGAACGTTGCAAGCGGATTTGGCCAGGCGACTTTCGTCTTTTCTGGTTTGGGTGTGCTCTCGTTGGGCGACAGCTTAGCGAGCTTACGCGCTTGTATGCAGCTGATGACAGAGCGGTTGACGCCCTGAGGAGGTATAGAGCCATTGCCAACGACTTTTCGGCAAGTCTCAGGGAAAAAGAATACGAATATTATGAGCAGTACTCCAGAAAAGATGGCCAAAAACCAGAAGATAGATCGCCAGCCCAAATATTGTGCCAGCAGCCCACCTATTGTCGGACCGAAAGCAGGGCCCATCAATACACCAGCTTGTGCATAACCCATGTAAGTTCCTCGCTCAGCCGATGTAGAGATATCCGCAACAACCGCCATTGTCAATGCAATAGCAGCTGTGCCTCCAACGGCTTGTACCATACGCAGAATGAGAAGTGCAATGTAGTTCGTTTGAAGTGCGAGGCCGATGTTGCCGATGCTGTAGATCACGAAGCATATGATGAAAGTCAATCTCCGTCCACTGTTGTCCGATAGAGTTCCGAGGAAAGCAGGAGCTATAGCTTGGGCGATCTAGGACAGTTAGTTGCAGTACCGATATCGGTGGACGCCACAACGTCAGCGAAGCTAGAGCTGTGGAGTGTCCCGTCCATTTCATACTAATATTAACTGTCCAGACGTACCATATATGTCGTGATCGAGATGTTGACCTGTGTAGGTGTAATGTCCAACACATTGGAAAGCACATTGAGTGCTGGAAGGAACATAGACGCGCCAAACGGCGATATTAGAGCGGAGATCGAAACAAGTAGGATGATCCATGCCTTCATGCCTTTGCTAAAGACAGAGTAGGGGGGTTCAGAAGGCTGACGTTCCAGGTTGGCTCGCGGTCCATCTTTCTCGACGTCCATGTCCTGACATGCCTCTTTCTCGCTAGTAGCGTCCACGTTATTGCCGCTCGTTATTTCTTTCGTCGTAGCCATAGCGAAGCTATTTTGACCTCAGCATATGGGCAGGATAACGTTGAATAGTGTATCGAGACGTAGAATTAATGTTTAGGTTTGGAAGAGCTATCGACTGGTCATGGGGGTCTGCCCACCCTTAATCCACCTGGTCGCCTGTCGGACATGACGCTAGTGCCGGGACGTGGAAGGGATGCCGTGCCCCGTTGAATCTCCAACCTCGTTAATTCGAGGGTTTGAACGCGTGTGAGCGAAGTACTGTGTGCAAGCCAGGGAGCAACTGGCCGATGTTGACCGATTGTTATGCAGGGTGGAAGTATTGATTGAGACAGACCCTGTACGGGCAGATGTGCTATCTCTGTTGTTGCTATATCTCTGTGCTTACTGCGCGCCTCTGTGGAGCGATGACGCACTTGCACAGGTCTTGAAAGAGGCAGGCGGGTTGGTGTCGGGGCGCGTATTCCGGGGATAAGATGTCGGAAAGCTACTTCCGGCGCGCAATCGGGAGTGTTAATGCCGAGGGCCATCGCCCGCGTAATGTTCAACCGACTCTAGCAGGATCGACATGGATTGATGTTGAGACAAGCTTTCATAGCAAAACCTTGCATATGAACGTGGGTTGTTGTTTTGAGAGCGATGCACTCTGTGCCGCGAGTAGTGCTGCTCAAGGTTCCAGAATTGATATGGCACAAGTCACTATGATTACGCAAAGCCGGACCTCGATACTGAACATATGCCTATAATATTTTGTATATACCACTCACGCTCTTCGTAAACTTCGTGAGTATCCAACTTGTTGAACGCCGATAATATGCTCTTTCTCGTAACATCGTAGCGGAAGGTTGTGGAACCTCCGTTGGGTATGGTCCCTATGTGTAGATGTCATCGTCGCCATGGAAGAACCTCAACACTGCTTTTGCGACAAGAAGACCGTCATGCATCCAATCCGCTCTCTCGGCAGCCTCGTCTGCATCCTGCTTGCTCACGCTCCCACTCTCAACCCTCATCTCAAGTTGCCTCTTAACAAGAGCCTCATCAAACTCCATGTGGCCTTGCGTGGTGAACAATCTCTTGTGGATATATACACCCTGAACACCAGTGTGGTCGCTGGTACCCCAAACGTGAACCTTGGTGTCCTTTGGTATCAAATCGGTGGTCTCGGTGGAAGGAGGATTAACGACGTGATCAAGATGCATCTGGTGAAGGTGTATCTTGGTCTCTGTTTCGGGCAGGTTAAAAAGATGGCGGCCAATGTCGGAGAGCTGGATGGGCTGATGGGATAATTCCCATTCACCGTCCTTCTGTGGTTTTACGGTAGCACCCAGAGTTCTGCAAAGAATTTGGTGTCCGAAACATATCCCTGTGAAACGGATGTCGGGGCGATGTGTCCAGACGTCTGTCATGCCATTAGCCATTGCTGAGTACCTTCCAACCACACATGCAGATACACACCTTTGATAAATTCAATGAGCTTGAGAATCCAAGGGTCGTCACCGTGTGCGTCCCAGCAGCTTCCTGTTATAAGGATGGCGTGTACGTCGTCACCAATCTCCTCTAGCTTCGGTATCGCACCACCTTCTGGCTCGACTACGTATTGCATTGAGGTCTCGATACCGAGACTGGGTTTGTGCTCATCTCCAGCTTTTTTGAGAAGTTCACCTAGAACGACTCCAAAGGAGCCAGTCTCTTTTTGAGTGTCAGGATGTGTCTCGTCTGTCTCGAGAACAAGCATGCGGACTTTGTCCGGATGGTTGGACAACAGTGTTCGGTTTTGTGCGATCGGTGGTACCATCTTTGCTGTAGAAGTGTGAAATTGACGTGGTATAGAGGAAAGGAAGCAACTTGAAGTAGTTGGCCTGCAAGTGGCAGCTTTATGTGAACAGGGTCCAACCGGTCTTTTGGGAAAGAGTGACGTCTGCCGTAGAAACTTCTGCGCAGAAGTGACCGAGCGTGCGGGCTTGTGCATAATCAGGTCAAGTCCGCGGAATCAAATGCAAGTCCAAGTGACAAGCACACCAAGGCGCTGTCCAGAGCAGCTTCATGTAGTATACTTCAGCCTCCATCTTGGCGTTGTCGTGTTTGAGGGTTCGATGACGACTTTGCCTTGACGTCGGTGTGTTGTGGAGAGGTTAAGGCCTAAAATCGAAATTTTAACGTAATAGCAAAGTCTTAAAGTCTTGGGAGCTCTGATGCATCCCGATGTCCCGGGCAGTTCGGGATAAAATAGACGCTAGACATGCAGGTACTGAGGATCGATGTGGCTGCGTGGCTGAGCGAACTGATCTGATTTGTCTGTCTATTGGACCGACTAATATCATGCTGTGGCTGAAATATCTACTCCACGCCCTTGCCCTTCATCTTGAGGTCTTCGGGGTCATGCGGGGCTTCGGCTTTCTTCCCTGCCGATTCCTTACCAGTCATGACTTCGGTAAAGATCTTTCGCAACGCTTCAATTGCCTCTTCGCCAATCTGGTAATGCACAACAAATCTACCACCACGCACCCTTACGCCGTACTTCTCCGCTAGCTCGATAAAGTTGTTGATGTCAACATGATGCGCCTCGAGATCCAACCAAACCATGTTGGTGTCTACGGGATATTGCAGCTTGCCACCAAGATCGGTCCACATGCTTGCAATCTTCTTGGCATTTTCGTGAGACTTGGTGAGCTTGCCGCCAAGGAACGTCTCTTCGATGGCAACGCGCATTGGAGCTGCAACGACACCAGCTTGTCGCAGACCTCCACCGATAGACTTGCGGATCCAGCGGCTACGCTTGATGAAATCTTTTGTACCGACGATGATGCTACCAATGGGCGCTCCAAGGCCCTTGCTGATGCACAGGCTAATGCTATCAAACTCAGCGCAGTACTCCTTCAAGGTACCAGCACCCGCAGCTACAGCTTCCCACAGACGTGCACCGTCCAAGTGCATTATGATGCCGTGTTGGCGCGCCCAAGCCGATATCCGCTTCACTTCGGACAGGGGCATTATGGCGCCATTGAGCGTGTTTTCGAGCTCGATGACACGCGTGGGACAGGCATGGACATCGTCAGAGATGACGGCGTATTTCTGGATGTCTTCGAGCGTGAGGTATGTGCCGTTCTTGGCATCGAGTGGTTGCACCATGGCCTGGCTCAAGGTTGCTACACCTCCTGCCTCGTAGTTGATGATGTGGCCACGTCGGTCGCAGATGATGGCGTGTGGGGGCGTGGTGAGGTGTGCTCGCAGCGCGACCTGGTTGCCCATGGTACCAGACAGCATCAGGAGCGCGTCCTCCTTGCCGCTGAGGTCAGCCACAAAGCGCTCGAGCGACAGTGTGGTGGGATCCTCCATGGTGACATCGTCGAGCAGGGTGCACTCCTGGATTGCCTTGAGCATGGCCCTGGTTGGTGTAGTGTGCACGTCCGAGCGGAAGTCAAAGGCCGCCGGGTTCTTGTCGGCGCCCCAGGCGTTGCCATCGTGGCTTGTGCCATTTGTCAAGCTCTTGCTGCTCTTGGCAATGTAGTGGGAGAGTTCTGACATGGCCGAGTATGCTCGTGAAGTGGATAGCTGGCGCGGGGCAAGGGAGGCGGTCAAGGGTCGATTACCCGCTTTGAGCGTGTTTACTGGACAAAGGTAAGGTCAATCGCACAGTCGGTGGACAGGACCACGTACTGCAGAGGCGAGCGAGCGGATATAAACGCCGTGGCGGCATTGCGGCGGCATGTTGGAGGGAAGGGCGCAAGGCGTGAAGCAAGCCGAAGATAGGCGACGCAGCTGCCAACGCGGAAACCCCTCCACTCCGATTCGCCCGACTTTACACCTACAACCATCACAATAGGCAGGCGACAACCCAGCCATGACCGTCTTCGCCCGCATCGCAAGCTATTACATGAGCGGAACCGCCAGCAACCCCATCATGGTGCTGTTGAGCTTCCAGCAATCTAGCTACGACAAACCCCTCATTGTCGACGTTGCATAGGAGCATTGTTGCCCAAGGCCAAATATTGCTACGGATCAATCACCCCAGGACAACGGAGCAGACCGGGTTGGAGTGTGAGACTCCAACTTTTGGCACCATGACACGCCTCGCGGAGCCGTGTCCTCTTCGTACGGATCCGCAAATCAAGACATAGATGACGAGGCTGTCAGCTTCACAAGTGCACTATGCGAACGGTCAAGTAGCCACTGGTCTTGGACACCAAGCTGTACAAGTGCACCTTCATGACTGCTGGGCCACAGCGGGCATTATAAACGTTCAAGCCTCGCCTTCCCATTTAACTACTTTCATCCACCGCTTTCACCAAACTCTCAAACATTGCGCTAAAGCTATGATAATAGTCATCCGCACTGTCCGTCAAAAAGATCCAATCCGCCGTGTTCTGCACCTGCTGGATCACAAAGTCCAGCACTTCTCCAGTCAGATTCGGCAACGAATGCAGTATGACTGCCAGTCTCGAACGCCGAATCTTGTGTGCTTGTAGCGGAACCATAATATCTCTGTCAAGCCACTTGTCGAATGTCTCTTCGAATACGACAGTGAGGTCGGTGAGGTTGAGGTAGGATTCTTGTAGTACTGTGGGCGAAGTGAGTATAGAAGTGGGCATTAGGCCTGGATTATGAGCTATGAAGCGCTCGCTGAACGCTGTGCTGTTCTTGATTGCTTGGTTCGCTGTCTTCAGATATGCGTAATCGTCCTCATCGAACATGCTTGGTGTCTCGTCCAAGAAGATTCCATCAACGCGCATCTTGGTGATATTTGCGACTTTGGGCCAGCGCGCGTACGTGTCGATTTCTGCCAAAACGCTTTCGATAGGCTTTTCTGCATAATCGGTTGCGACGTATCCCAGTGTTCTGATGTTTGGATAGGCTCGTAGTTTAGGGACCTCATCAAGGTACACTTGATCAGGGAGTGATCCCATACAGGGGCCAGAGCAAGGGTTGATGATGACGGTGAAGTCTACATCTCTGTACGCTTTTGCTCTAAGTTCCAGTTAGTGTGCAATGAAGTCGTAGGAGGAGGTGTGCACACGCTGCGTATAGCGGATCCCATGCACCCGCACTTGGATACACGTAGAGCGGGATAAGTATAGACATGGCAGTATACTGTCTCGAGTGATGGCTATGGAGAAGACGATACTTCACTGTTAAGGCTTTGGGGCGGAGACGAACTTCTAGATGCTAGGATGCATTGCGTGGACAATACATTGGCTCGGCATATGTGGTACCTGATAGCGGAAAGTGACCCTGTCCGCGGCTGAAGCCACGGTCTCCAAATGAGAAACTATATTATATGCAGAGAGGGTTGCGCGGCGTGTGTCGGGCACATTCGTCGACTACTGTGTTCGGTCCAATGGCAGTCGCTTACGGCAGATAGGCTGGGAGAAGTCGATATCCATATTACAGGCCAGGGTCGACAAATAACCGGGGATATGAAAACGATAGGAAATGCACCATCGAAAAAAAGAGTCAGCGTTATCACCAACTATGTAAAGGCTTTTATGACGTAAGGATGCAACTCTAAAGCTCAGATTCGTGCATCTTTTGCAATCGTACGCGTTGCAGCGACTGCCTGACAATCACTATCCATTTCAACAACTGGTACTGTAACACTATGTTCTCAAAACAGGGGGCAACATGTACTTCTGCTGAACAATATGGACAATATAGGATATCATACCGCGATGCAAGCCACAATGAACCGTCACTCTGACTGCCTCGGAGTTCGAAATATTCAGAACCTGAACAAGTGGCTCTGGACACAGCAGCTCATCATAGCTTTCGGGTTCCTGACATACGCTTCGCCAATTCGGTTCGATGGGTGTAGAAGCAGAGCCCAAAAGCTTCAACCATACACGGCCTGTCACGAGATTATGCCCGAAGTTGATCGAACAAGCCAAAGGAAAGTTGCGGTTCTGGTAATACAGGCGAACCGTGCCATAGAATACCGGTGCACCTGGATACCCGTTGTTGTCTGAACCGTTGTTTGTACAAAACTCGGGATTGATTGAAAGGTCGCTATGGATTGGATCCCACAACTGCTTTGGCTGTGCACTTCGAATACGGTATACTGTAGAGTCGAACTTGAACTGAAAGCAATGCATCGCACGGCTTCGGAATATCTTTGGAATCTTTGGAGTGTGTTCGATATAAATTGCCTCAGGCTTGCCATTATCATTGAGCCGATGACTGAACGTGTTGGCTGCAACTCTTGTGTAGTGCGATGCACCCAGTCGTCGAATGAGCAGAGCAATTATTCTTCCTTTCTCTATTGCGCCCAGCGGAAGGGCGAAGATTGAATCGTCCCACATCTCGCCAGGGATATCGTCCAGCAAAGGACAAAGCCGTGCCTCAATTCTGAGGCCCAAATTTGATGTAGCGAATTGACCACGGCCCTGCTCGATACCCTGAGATCCTTCGAAGTCGTCGGGCGACATGGCTAGCAATCCACAATATCTGGATAGCGACCCATCAGGTGCCCTCCATGCGAAGATTGAGTCGTCAGGAGTCCTTCTCATGATCTCTTCCTGCAACCGTCTGAATGCATTGTCACCCTCACCGTACAGCATAGGCATATGAATACCAAACAGGCCCATGAGGCTGTATGCACGGTCTTCTGCTCGAGTCGTTTTGCGATTGGCTGCCCATGACATTTTTTGTGCGACTGAAGCTTGACTCAGGTCACCAGTACGCAAAACAGATAGAGGTATCCCTGTCACTTCGGCAATCGTTGGACAGAACATACTTTTGGAGCCAATGAGTGCGAAATTCTGATCATAGAATGCGAGAGCCTTGGGTGCGATGAGTTCTTGTAAAGTCCAGCCTCTAGTGATCCATCGGGACGTACGTAATATTGTTGCAATATCATAATGGCGGCGCAAATCAGAGCCCGGGTTTCGCACGGGACCAGCATCTTCCAGGTGAACCATACAGAAGCAGGATTGCTGATACCATCGATACATTGAGTTGATTGCTTCCTGTAGCTCCGCGCTGCTACTTTTGTCAATACAACAGGTGTCTATCCAGATGTATTTCAGTCCCTTTTCTCTTGCGAGCTTGGCGGCCTTTTGTATCTTCCTGTAGCCGGCACGGGCTTGAATAGACTTGCTATTCATCGCGAAGATCTTCAGCCCAGCAGCCGCTTCCAATGCAGCCATCACTGTGGTATCGCTTTTGAGGCTATCAGGCAAGGCGTGATGCTGTTGCAAGAAGCGCATCTCCTGATAGGAAATCTCCTCCATTCCCCATGTGTGCGATAGTATAAGATAGCGCGGTATCTCATTATCGTGGAAGACTTGGAATTCGAGGGTCTTGGCATGTAAGAGGCGCATATCAATCGTTCGATTTTCCCAATTCTCAGAACAAGAATCGTACCACCGAATCGATAAGTCTCAGTTTCTAGTCGCTAGCGCTTCCAGTACGTGGAAAGAGAGTATGGTAGCCGGCAACTACTTGAACGTGATGACGTTCTCGCAAGGCTGAAGGGTGGATCGTGTCAGCTTCTGCACACGAACTTGGGAAAACTTGTGAATATATTGCAAATATGGCTGTAAATATGAGACATAGCGGCTTGCTAGTGCGCAGGAAGCTTGATTTTCGCTGAAAATCTCGTCAAATGTAGAAAGCGAGATTGCTAAGTAAGATGGAAGTGAGTGAGCTGCAATAGCCGCCCGAAGTTGTGGCTATGTGCATGGTCGGCTCAGATACCCTTGCATTCCTCAGCTCGTACATATTTTACTGCAGTTTCTGCAGCATATATAGCGAGACGGCTCTTATACTCTCGTCCTCAGCCAATCGACACCTAGCAACGTTGTCGACAAGCTCGATCCCGAAGTCAAAAATGGCGATACCTCATGTACCATTATTTTGATAGTCATTACCGATCGAGCGTAGATACTTGGATACGAAGCGCCTCTCTCAGAGAACTGTTAGTATACAGGTGTCATTACCCACATCACGAGTGTTGCGATTGGGGCGTGCGGCTCACGACCTTGGGAAGCCTCACTCTGCGCTAAGAAATTAGTGCGGTCGCCCACGCAGTTGACCCGCCTGGCCGCATGCAAAAGATAGATGTTTCCCAGATTGTAGCGATGCCGAATATGGTTCATGTCATAAAAATTCAGTGTCAAATACACAACAAATTGTAGAGATGTGAGTGACCGCGTACAACCCTTTTTACAAGAAGCAACGATCACTGTTTCATCGATGTTCTAATACACATTATGAATATGTTTGCATTCGAAGGAGAGGCTTCATTTGGCAAAATCGGAATGACTTTATTGACCAGATCGACTTTGAATCACGAGAAAAATCAAGCGTAAAGAGGCATTGGGAGACATAGCTGGAGCAGGAAGTGTTCAACACCGTACGTGATGTGAAGAAGGGCGAAGAGTACATGGTGGTCACTCTAGTGTCGAAGAGAACTTGAATACGTACGGCATTAGATGTAAATGGCGACCTCTACAAGACTTAGAGCCATCTGCACTTGTGCTAATGGCTGCACAACATTAGTATCGATGCCTCATCTTCGAGAGAGCGGTTACAACGTTTGAACGAAACTTTTTATCTGGATGTGGTCGGCGCATTTAGGATTTTGTTTGAATGTTCTATCTAGAAACTCGAAATACTGGTACTGCTACTTGGATTCTTTTGTTTCTTTGGTCCAAATTGATCCAGCTCCATCTGAACAAGTGACTGTTCATCACTATCTGCATGCCGTATCTCGAAAGTTTTAGTGTATGTGATGGCGTTCGGATCCCGTCCGCCGTTTGAGACAGCCGATCTCCCTGGACCGCTGACCGGTGCACTGCCTCCCTTCCTCATTCCATGACTTTGGCTGCCGTATGCGTAGTAAGGCCGGTCGGTGGCCTTAGTTGTACCAAGGACCTTGGGGAACAAGTGGACAAGAATGACGCGTAGTGCAGGCAAGCAGGCGCAGATGATTCCGATGTTGATTTCGATGTTTGACCAGTTGATCACATCCGCTTGGTCCCATGTTGGATTCGCGGAAGCGGCAAAGTTGACAAGAGACCGCAGGCGGAGTATCGATATGACGGTTACACTGAGCCTCAAGTTAGCGGTTGTCCTCTAGTAACAGTTCTTAAGGTGACTCACAATGTGCCAACGCAAAACATAACAGCAACGCTAAGCTTCTTGCGCCAGGACAGCTGCAGGTTGAAAACCTCGAACAAGGGTAAAGCGAGCATCCAAATATCTAGGACGATACTGATAATGGCGTTTGTCCACGCTAAGCCGTTGATATCGATGCATTGGCCTGATCCCTCCTTGTCCCATTTCGTCCAGTAAAAGGATATCGGTCGACATTGAAAGATGGCGGCGAACGTGAATGCAACGCCGTTGAGACAGTTGAATGCAATAGTAGCCCAGAGGAGTCGCCTGATCATCGGCTTTGGAAAGATTCGGAGAAAGAAGAAAAGAAGCGTGAGCTTCAGAAGCGCAATCTGGATGAAGTACAGGACTTCCAGGGCGTAAAGATACCGGACGAAATTGGTGATCTGCTCGAAGCTGACTGTCCACACGTCTCTTCCAAGACCATTTGGAACGATGGCTCTATCGATGATAACGACAGATGGTACACCGGCTATCAGTGCGGCTAAGACGCTGTAATCATCGTAACCGAGCTCTCCGATAGAGAACACAGCCTTGTATATAATCCTGGAGAGCGCGCAGACAGCGGTGACGATCGAGAGAATCAAGTTTGATACGCGAATGGACTCGCCAGAATAACGTATGGGGGCGTGACAGCTTGTTGAAGTGACATTCTTGGTCGCTAAGAAAGGCAATTAGCAACGTTCGATACAGCATTAGGAAGTGAGGCACTCACTCAAACTCTGTCTCAGTGTGCACGCTTGCAAAACACACGCTTCTACCTCGCCTTGCAATTTAGCATCTGCACATATTGAGGCTAGGTCTGTGTGCTGAACAGGCGATTGGGTGACTGCTGTGGCAAGACACACTTGCTGAAAACGCAATCAGTACGTGTTATGAGCATCGTTCGGATCGAACATACCGCGCATTGGGGAAGTTGCTTGGCCACAGCCAGCATAGCCGATTCCTGAGCAACTACTAGCTGCACCCATGCCAGCAATGGGAGCAACAATTCCAAGAGCCTCATCCTTCTTCGTACTCATACACGAAATCGTGTACGATCGAACGGCCAGGAAGTAAGAGGCGGAAACGAAGAGAAATTGGTAATCCGGGACAGACCCTTACTATAAACTCCCTGGAATGTCGGAGAATATCAAGAGCTGTCAGAAGTGCTAGGCCAGGTCGTTTAGTCTCCCGAGGCCTGTTCTATATGAGACTCCATAACGGAAAGTAATGAATGCAGGTACATTTAACCATTGGGTATGACGGACGGCAACTGCAGATTGAGGTATGGAGTGGGGCTGAACCGCCTCTTCTGGGGCCGCTATTCGAGGGTCATGCATCTTCCGTACCAGAGGTGCAATTCTCGCCGTAGAGATGATCCCTGGCATGTGCACGGAAAGTCTGGCACTAGATTCTATGATGACTGAACGCGACCAATGACCCAGCTGAAACTTAGGGCGAATGGAGAAGTTGCCCCAGACCACTTGAAGTGGGCCTTTGCTGACGCTTCGCATGGCAGACGCTACCAGAGACGGAGAGCATACTTTTCAGGAACAGCGGACTCATAACGCTAAGTGGACTTCGCCTAATATGCAGGAGGGGACGAGGCCTCCAGAAAGGAGAGACGTTCTTCGCAAGATGTCATCATGATCAGCACTGATCTACTTGACTGGTTAGCACAGAACATCAAAATATAAGCAATTCGCTCGAACACTGTGCTCTAATTGTCATTTTGCTGTAGCATCGTTGAGTTTGTATAAATGAAGGCATTCGAGGCCCCGGAAGGTCGACCGAAGATGGTGGTTCGTTCCGAACGCCACAGGCGAGCGATTTTGTGCATAGGTAAACGACTTGGCGTACACCACTAGCAGCACACATGCTTGCCGTTTGCTCCACCTCGCGTATACCCAGCCGTCGCCGAGCTTCGACCGCCGCTGTCTTCGCGGCTCGAAAAGCCACATGGGGCTGGTTTGCTTTTTGAAGATCATGTTCACTGACTCTTAGAACGTTGGGGATCGACTTGTGGAGCCTGATGCGACTTTTGAGATACGCGAGGCAAGAATACAATCATTTTATTTAGCTAACAACACATACTTTCATCTATTATCATAACAGCGTACAAACGTGCCGCTGTTCATCACATGTCATTTGAGCACTGGCCTAGTTGTCGCTAACAGGCAAGACCGCGGAATTCAGGAGCTAAACAGCTTAGAAACAGCCAAATCTTCGAATAACATTCCATACCACCATACCACCATGCCGTAGGGATGTGTGGAACGCGTGCCCTAGCACACGGTCCGTGGTAACCCTGAAAATTCAGCCGCTTGTTGAGCACCCAGAGCAGCTTCTCGGTACGATTGCAATCTCGCCATTCTCAAGCTAAGCAGCTCTCTCATTGTGTTGAGCACCCGGAAAAATTGAAACGGCCTAGGAGCCATGCCTCCGACACTATCAAGCCACTTTCGAAGCATTCTGTAGGTAGTCGTCATTGATTCGTCTGGAAACTTCTGTCCAGTTGTTATTTCAATGACATCGCTACGGGTTAGGTTGTTGAATTTCATCGATGTTCCCTGACACGGATACAAAACACATCCCGGCTGATGCTTCAGCCCTACAAGGTATACCTGATGCACAATCGAAACAGACCCATGCGACGGGTTGAAACTCCGTCGCTATGAGCGTCCACCTTCCCCTTTCTCGCCTGCTCGAAATCGTCAGTATTCGAGTCGATGCTAGTGGGGCATTTTGGTGATGGCGTGAGTTTTGACTCAAAGTCTTTCCCTTGATTCAAGCACAACATGCATGAGCATCCCCCAGGATCACGATACTTCGCGAACGGGATGCGACGTGCTTCAGGCTTCGAAAGTTTGCTGTCGGCCCGACGTCGTAGTCCCCAGATCGCAAGTGCGAGACCCCGCGGCTCTTTGCTTTTCCATACTAGACGTCACGGCGCAAATCGACGGAAGGCGTAGACGCAAGCATCCTGACCGCACATCCAAAGGTGTTTTCATAATCCAGCGCAGTGGTACCCTTGAGCTTGACTAACGCGTTAGCAGATGGCATCCTCCGACAATGTGTCGTCGTCACCTCAAGCGACCCGACGATCTCAACAGCCACGAGAAATCTTCGAGTGCCGCTGATTCAGGTGCGGAGCCTTATAGATACCACAGTCTACGACCTCGTGGCACTCCGATATGGAGTATGTAATAGATAGGTCCCCACTTCACCTAGCCACACGTCAGCTTCGACTGCCACGTTCGGGCCGCACCTTTTGTAACCCGCCAAAGTTTCGGGAACCAAACTTTGAATGTGACCAGACTCACGCGTGACGATATGCGGCCAACGCAGGCATCGGCAGCTGTTTCTACGCGAACACATGGCAACACACTCGCGTGGCCTTCGTTAAACATCCTCGGATCTACACGGGTCGATCTTCAAGTAGCGCGTACCAAACGGTCAGCCACCGGCATCACGCATCGGCATCTGCCAGGGACTGACGATCACAACGTGGGATTGACAAAAGCGACCAATACTCTCGGCCAGCTAGCCAAAGTCGTTTCTATATGCAAGCTCGATATCGACCACGTTGCAAGGAAGCTAACATTGGTACTTCCTGATCTGGAGCCACTAATTAACTTGGTATCTGCTTTAGTCATTGTTACTCTCCTGGGCCACATCGTTCAAGAGTCCATGTCTATATGCAACCGTATTTGGGAAACAAAACCTCGAAAATCAGCGGCCTTTACACCATATGCGTACTCACTCCTACCACCGGGAAAAAAGAGGCTTGCAATCAACTCCGTAGACGATGATGACACCACTACTGTTAACCTCTTCTGTAGTCATACCCCGTCTCTAGCTCTGATTCCATTCGCCCTGGCGACAATTATCTCTAGATGCTTCACGATTCGAATCAACATACCTAACCTTTGGGCATGATCAACAAGGCTCAGGCATTAGTGATCATTCCAAGCATACACGAAAGGCATATGCCGAGAGCTTCCTCTGCTTTAATCACGATGAATACTGGATTCGGCCGTTTTCTATCCGCTTCTTGCGATTTAAACTTTCCTTTGGATTCAAGATATCACTTCGTGACGGATTATGTCTCAAAAGAGACTGTAAGTAGGTTTGTGATCCACATGCTTTACGAGATTGAGCCGCATGTGCATACGCGACTAAGTCCGCAGATCCCCAAAGCTAAACCCCCAAAAAGCTTCGAAGCCGCTTCATGCAGGTTGCCGCTGTACCTTTCAGTCTGTCACATGGAATCTCCATTGTGACGCATGTCCCTCGTGGCTGTACCACAGCGTGATCATGCCGATCATAAGCACTGACTCCAGCTACATCCTCGGCTTTTGTTGAAGTTTCTCTGGTATGGGATCGATCTTCTCCCGCACTCATGCTATACAGCCCAGAATCCAAAAAAGAAAAACCATCCTATAGAGTTCAGGTTTTGTCATGAAATTTCCGTGCTGCAATTCCATATTCGAGTTGGCTTTTGCGCCGCTGTTCGAGTTATGTAAGTTTCTAGCAATACATAGCGTTTTGCCTTTTACATTTTAAAGCGCCTACATCCATCGATTAAAGCGTGGCTATAGAGCCGCCATGCTATGCTACTACATACTAAGCGTCTACCGGTCTGCCGATGGTTTTAGGCCATTAACAGATGATTACATTGTTACATGTTTCTTTATATACTTCACTACATTAAAGAGATAAACCAAAATCTCTATAAGGGAGAGGACTTCTAATTACTGTAATAGAGTAGATCAAGAGCCATAAAAACGTAGAAAGAGAAGATAGAAGTCTACATTACTATTAATCTTTATACGTTTTCCTATTGTAAGCTAATGTAAGCTGCAAGGTGGAACTAGCTATCTCTATTCTTATTGAGTCTTGCTCTTATATAGAGTGCTTTACAGTTCGCTCTTCTAATCAGAAACGGCGACATCAAATAGCACTGCTCTTCGTGCTTTCTAAGAACTCATGTTGGAGTTTGACTAGAGCTTGAGTAAGACAGCCAACACCATAAAGTCATAGCTAATTCCAGAAATTCCTTTCAGTGTTCGTGTGGGATGTGAGAGCATAGTATATAACCCACTTGACGGTTGATAAGAAGGTGCATGCTTGTCTCATTTCCTGTAGGCAGTCTTTTTGATAACCACAACCATTTCTCCGTCGCCACTTTCTGTGCTTCGTCTACCACAAGGCGGGTTCAGATTATGCATGAATTTCTGTCTTTCCCCAGGGAGATATCGGATCGGTATGTTTTTGCTGAGAGCAACTTAATTGCATTATAAGTCCTTCGTCTTCTTGTTTTCTCCACATCACTTGACCACGTCTTCTACACCATGAAGCAGAGGCTTCACCTTCACGCTTCTGCTGACCCAAAAGAGATACGATCTGAATTGCAGAACGAGTTCGCCACTAGAGGTGAAGTGAGTTGATTCTTGCAATTGCAACGGTGTGTTGTTAAGCACCAATCACGAAAGACAGAACATTCGGAGATGAACAGAACAACAGAAATGCATCGGAATATCATTGATTCGCTCGTCGCAGATATCGAAAGGTATCATCTCCATCATTCCCTAATCCCTAAGCCCTCAGTCCGCTCTCAAAAGATCGAAAGTATGAACCTGAACCTGAACCAAATAGAATGCATAATCTCCATGGGAGGTAAACATGAAAGCGGAGATGACTTCCCGCGGCAACGCCAAGGCATTATACCTCCCGTCATATCATGCTCATGTTACCTTGCCAGCCCGCTGTGGATGCAAACCAAGTCTAACGCAACAAACGCCGCCCAATGGTACTGGAATGAAGACACAATAGATAATAAAACAGATATCGAGAACAATAGTCAGCGTGCCTTGGACGGATTACCGTCCAAACAAGCCGTTGCCAACACTGACAGTACCGAGGCCACTGCGTTGTGTCAATGATGCGCGCGCT